TTAATTACAAACATACGAATGTAGTTGAATGTTAAATTCATTTACGGTGAAGTTGTATGAGAAGTAGTTGGAGAATAAAATGCATTAAACATGGTCTCTATATCGTATATTTTGGATCACGCACTATTTTGTTCATTCAAAAGTAGTGCTCCCAACAAAATTTTCTTCATACAAAAGTAGTGCTCCCAACAAAATTTTCTTCATACCTAGGGCTTGAACCTACAATTGGAGGCCAGACTAAATTCAGATCACGCACTGCGGCCTCATTCAAGAGTGACGCTCCTAACAAAGTATTCTTCTTAACTAGGGCTCGAACCTGCAGTTAGAGCTCAAACTAAATTCGGATCACGCACTGCGGACTTATTCAAGAGTGACGTTCCTAACAAAATTTTCTTGATACCTAGGGCTTGAACTTGCAATTAATTAGAGCCCCGACAAATTCTGATCGCGGCGCATTGTGGACTCATTCAAGAGTGGCACTCCCAGCAAAACTTTCCTCATACCTAAGATTTTAAACGTGAAACATCTGATTAAGGGTGACACAATTTCATCATTACGCCACAATTTATATTTAAAAATAAATTAAATTTAATGATTTAATAAAGTAGAAATACATGTTAATTAATCATAAATTAAAATTATTGTGTATGTTTCAATACATATACATATTATGCATTTATTTATTTGCGATAAACATCTAATATGGATAAATTTTAATTTTTTCAATGGGTGGCAATTAAGTTGCTATTTATAATGCCGCATAAACAGTTATTAGTTATTGCTAGCAAATTCGTAGGATTTTGCAATTGGAAGGTGTTTTATTTTTAGGAATTTATAAAGTAAATTACTCACAACTCATAAGAATCGTTTGAAGTACCCATTAAGATGTAATTTATAGGATTAGTAAGTCATGAAATTTATTAGTTATAATCTTATAATATTAAAATTACTAAATTAATGGAGTATTAAAATTTATAAAATTCTTTACTTTAAAAATAGGTTCTCTCTAATTTTCTCTAAAATATTCTTCTTGTTCTTGCTTTATTATTTTATAACCACTTCTAATCTTATGTTGTTTATAAGAATTTTTTATTGTTGCCCATGAGAGATCTTTATTTTTATGCCTACAAAATTTTAAAAGATCAATTTTCTTTTTATTCAATTGGTAAGTGATCATGTAAATTTATTTTCAACTCGCATTTCTATCGCCCCAAATTTAGGTTAGGCCTTAGATAAAAAGAGCGATATCAGAAATGAAATGTAGAGATTTCTTTGTAAAGCTAATATTTTCTTCATTTCAATTAGATGTAATACGAAGGCTACAATTACATGTTACAACCAAAACATAATATGAAATTTCAGATGTAAAATAGAAGTAATGTGACGTGTAAAATGTGTAGAGTACTGATATAATGTCTAGTTATGTTAAATTATTAATAATATTTATAAAGTGCATAGTAATAAATTACTATCGTCTTAATGAGTTATCGATTCATCCAATAACCAAATACTAAAAATTGATACCTAATCAAAAACCCTTTATAGATCCGTTAAAAATCCATTAACTCAATAATTCAATAACCCAATAACATTTTTTTAATAGGTTTATTGATCGATTCGATTTTTCCACATCCTTATTGGGAGGTGACAGTATGATAGACATCGGTGAATTTAGTCGAGTGCATGAAAACTAGCCCGAATACCATATTAATAAAATAAAATTTAAAAAAAAAAAAAAAAGAACAACCGGGGCTCCATATTAGCAAACCAGGTCGAAAAGAAGAACTCCATTCCCTATCCAATTTTCCCCAATAGGATAAGAAAAATAGACCAGCAAAAGGCTCTATCTTCTTCCTTCTTCAATTTCTTCATCAATCAAGATTTTCAACAATGGCGCAAACACTAGCAACTCCTGTACTTCCTTCTCTTTCCCTTATCTGCAACACATCTTCCATCTCCAAGCACAGTTCCCTCTCTTTTTCTACTCCCACATCTTTTCCAAAGGTACACTTCACTCCCTTCTCTTGAAATTTGCAGTAATCAAACATGGAGTTTGCTGAAGTTTACATTTTTTGACCTTTTTCGTGTAGGAATTGGAATGGGGTTTGTCTTTTTTTTTCTCGCAATTTTCTCAGTAACCAAACATGGGTTTTGCTAAAGATTACTTTTTTTTTTACCTGAGTAGGAATTGGAATGAGTTTTTGGATTTTTCGAAATTTTCTCAGTAACCCAACATGAGTTTTTTTTGCTAAAGTTTCCGTTTTTTTGAGGTGGGATTGAATTGAGGTTTGCTTATTTTTCATATTTTTGGACTTTTTTGAGTTGGAATTAAATTGGGTTTTGCTAAATTTTCCATGATTTTGAGTTTGAACTGAAATGAGTTTTGTGTAGACTGCAGGTTTGGTTATAAAGTGTGTGCGTGTGGGAGGAGTGGAAGTTCCAAACAACAAAAGAGTTGAGTTCTCTTTGCAATACATTCATGGAATTGGCCGCACCACTGCACGCCAGATTCTGGTAGACCTTCAAATGGAGAACAAAGTGATGAAAGACATGTCGGAAGAGGAACTTATCACTCTTCGTGAAGAAGTCTCTAAGTACATGATTGAAGGAGACCTTGTGAGTTTCATTGCTCTAATTTGTACTCATTTGTTTTCGTTCCAATGTGCATATCCTTATTGAAACTTATATGCTTAGGTAATTTGATTTCGATATCTAGTTCATGTAACTTTGCTGTGGTTGCTGTTTATTTTAGCTCTATAGTTTAACTTAATGCCATTTGGGGTTCTAAGAAATTTAATTCATTTTGTCTCAAGATAGGAATTGAACCAAAAAAACAATATCTTAAACCAATCTTTGGTCCAACTTTTACATGGAAAGAACCATATTTGAGCTGAAACTGCATTCTACATATCTTGAGATTAAAACCAGAAGATCGAAAAATCTTCTTTACTTTCTTAAACTTTGTGTCAAGTCAAATCCGGACAAACAAATCGAAACAAGGGGAGTTATTGTTAGGTGGGTATGTAGGATCATGGCTTCTATATGCATCACAGCCTTATCCCAAATTAAACAGTTCTTATGGAAATGTATTTCAGAAGAAATCGATAGCTTGTTTAGCAATTGGCAATGTTGATTGAGATTCTTGTGTATAAGGTTGTTTGTTTGATTGATGCTTCGGCTTCCTATTTGAAACGGGAAAATTGATTACATACTTGTGGTGTTGGCATCAGAGGAGATTCAATGCTCTTGCCATTAGGAGGTTGAAGGAGATTCAGTGCTATAGAGGAGTAAGGCACATCCAAGGATTGCCTTGCAGAGGACAACGAACAAAGAACAATTGCCGTACTTTGAAGGGCAAGAAAGTAGCAATTGCAGGGAAGAAGAAGGCACCTCGTTAAATCAAGATCGATTTTTCATTTCTTTTGGTAACTAACTTGTAAAAGTTACACTCTATATTCCTATGGCAAACTGTGCATTTGTTTGTTATAAACAGTTTTTTCCATTGAAATCATTTTTCTACATTTCAAGATAAGAGCTTTTCAAGAAGAATGTTGATGCTTAGGCATAATCTCTTCCTTAAATCTTGTTAAATGTGTTTCATGTGGAGTAATTGCGAATTTACGTTATTCTGATTGGATGATTTGGTTGACAGGAGAAAGGTTTGTTAAGTTACGTTAGGTGTCATAATAATTGTTGATGTAACGACCTATGAAGTGCAGTCCCTATCTATGAGCCTTGGTTTAAGCTTCAAGTTCAGTAATGTGTTTGGGCCAAGTATTTGCATTAATGTGATACCAAAGTTTTACAATTTGAGTCATAGCATTGTTAATGTAATGACTCGTTAGGTCATTTTGAGAATTAACTAAAAGCATAGAGTTTGTGGCACCTTTTTGTCACATGCATGAGCATGAAAGTTAAGTCCCACCCCTTTAGTACTCAAGAAGGTTCACTTTTCTCAGGTTTCTTGAAGACCATGACTTCTGTTTTTCAATAGTGATGATGTTCAGATCAATTTACACGTATTTCACTACTTACTTGTTACCTCACACTAGCATTATTGACGACGATGTAGTCTCTATCATTTTCAATATTATCGCGACCCCAGAAGAACCTTCTAAGTTATCTTTTCTAAGGTTTCTGGAAGATTGTGCATTTAACTTGAAGAAAATCTTTGGTAGAGTTTTTCATTTTCAAGATTATCTTTGTATAACTAGTAAAGTTATTGACTTATTGTAATGTAACTACGAGGTCACGATTTTAAACTAACAAATTTGAATAGTTTAGGGAGAATTTGATGTATCAAGTCTTGCAAAATTAAGTTAGAATTAATGTTTCGAATTTTACAACTGAGACAACCTTTATCGATTCTAAGTACATAAAACTAAAACTGAATAAATAAATAAAAAGAATATACCAAGCATTCCAAAGTTTGCAACTTTTTTGTATGTAATATTTTCATTTCATACCTTCAACACATACTAATATTTCACCAGCCATAACTATAAGAAGAAAAATATACCAACAATACAAAATATGGATTTATGAACACTAAGTGTTACATCAATAGAACAGTAAAAACCAGAATTTTCAGGCAAAAAAATTATAGAAATCCAAGAAAATGACATCCCAACAAGAGCATTTTGCAAATTAAAGAGAATTTTATGTTTAAATTGCAGCTCCTATTTCCTTTTCAAGGCACACCCACCCACCTCACCCCACTTGATCATTTGAAGGTAAGCAACTTATTGTTCCATCTCTTGCTTTTTCTTACCCTTCAAGTGATGAGCCTTAAGTTGTTGAGTGATAACAGTGCTTACATTGTTTGGATGGTTGTTACGTATTGTTCTATAGCCTATCGTACTGTATTATTTTAACAAATACAATGTTTGGAGCGACCAGACCAGACCGTTTTCCGTTGCTACATGACAGGAAAGAACTTAAGGATAAAATAGAATTTTAAAATAGTAAGTAAAGACAAACAAATTGGAGAAAAAAAACGATTCAGAGTAACAGTTAAAACAAACGTTATATTAAAACTAAACAGAAAAACAGAATACAATAGGTAATAACAACCATCCAAACAAGCTGTTAAAATGTCAAGTACTTGTCATAAGCTAAACTTCTCACTTGCTTTGTACATACTCCAACAGGATTCTCATACAACTCTATCCATCTCCTCTTTCCAATATACTTCTATATCTATTTTTTCATTCTTCTTTCTCCTTCAGCTGGTTTTCTGTTTTAATGCATAATTATTCAGTAGTTTTCGAGTTGTTTTGTTTTCTTCTCATTAATTTCTCTACAGCTTAGAAACTTGTATCCTTTTCTCCATCAATGTTTACTGTCTTATCAAATGTAATACATCATTGAACACACAAGAAAGCATCTGAATCAATAGAAAGAACAGTTATCATGCCTTTTGGTTTGGTGTCAGCGTGGAACAAACGTAGGAGAAGCAAGTCTGAGGATATGCTAAATCCTTGTATGTTTCCAGCCTCTTCATTATCCTTCATCTTCTTAATAGAGCAGCAATGTTTATCACGCTATTGTGATTGCCTGTGCTGCATCATATTACTTCACAGAGTTGCATATAGCTTCTGCATGTTATAAAGTTCAACATGATTGTTTTCAGGGATATATAAACCTGTAGAATATTGGCAAATCGAAGACCAGAATCCACCTGCAGCAAAAAGACGCCATGGATCATCAGTCTTCACACTCAGAGAAATGGAGGAGGCAACAAATTCTTTTAGTGATGACAATCTACTTGGAAAAGGAGGATTTGGTCGAGTTTATAAGGGTACACTGCGGTCTGGAGAGGTAAGACAAACAAGTTAAGGGAGAGAGTTTCAGATTGGTCGTTTATTTTCATCTACTGTAACACTGGAAACTTGAGAAAGCAGATCAACTAATATAGACTTTGATTGTTTTGCCAATTGATAGATTGTAGCAATAAAGAAAATGGATCTACCTTCATTCAAGGAAGCAGAAGGCGAGCGTGAGTTTCGTGTGGAAGTCGATATTCTGAGCAGACTGGATCATCCTAATCTGGTATCACTAATAGGCTATTGTGCAGATGGAAAGCACAGATTTCTAGTCTATGAGTACATGCACAAGGGGAACCTTCAAGATCATTTAAATGGTTGGTTTACGAGCTGAAGTTTCCTGATTCGAACACTCTTACCTTTTGATGCCTAACTATGTCTCACTGAAATTGCAGGGATTGCAGAAGTGAAAATGGATTGGCCCTTAAGGCTAAAGGTAGCTCTTGGGGCAGCAAGAGGACTTGCATATCTGCATTCAAGTTCAGCTGTTGGAATTCCTATAATTCATAGGGACTTCAAATCCACCAATATTCTTTTGAACACTAATTATGATGCAAAGGTACTCCAACATTTCATATATTCTAATTTTCTTCATATCTTTTTATAGGAGGGGATCTCTTCATAGAACTAAGGGTGTGTGTGGTATGAAGGAAAAAATTCGGAAATGTTTCCCTTCATACCAAGCACACCCTAATAGATAATCAATACTCATGCAGCGGAAATGTTTTCCTTCTCATGAAACACATCCTACTAGATAATCAATACTCTTCTGCTGCACAGATATCAGATTTTGGACTAGCAAAGTTGATGCCAGAAGGGCAACAATCATGTGTGACATCTAGGGTACTTGGTACTTTCGGCTATTTTGACCCTGAATATACACTGGTGAGTTGCTTGCATATCAAATCTAAGTCTGAAGTTTCTATTAATTTGGATATCATATTGTTATTTAGTTCATTACGACAAACAAATAATGTGAGCAAAGAAAAAAGGAAACAAGTGAAACAAAGCCATAACACAAGAATGATGAAGAGAGTATAAAGAGAAAAAAAACTATCCAAAGTGTTACTACACAAAAGCAGTAATCATATATGCTGATGCTAAATGTCAATTTAAATAATGTTCAACGCCCTTCCTCTACTTCCTGCCGTAAATACACACAGATATGCATAGGTCAGCCTTTTCTTTCTTCTTTCAAAACAAATAATATTAACGTTCTACCTGCTAGAAGGAATTACGACTAGTTTTACTTGAATTCTGTTGCAAACATACATGTGAATGACTGTCAAGAAATTTCTTACCTCATCCTTTATTCTTGTGATATAAATATTGTATAGATAGAAGAGAAAAGTTATTCTTCATTAACATTTCTTTCAGAAAAACCTTGCTAATATTATTTTCGAACAGACTGGAAAACTCACTTTACAAAGTGATGTTTATGCATTTGGTGTTGTTATGTTGGAGCTTTTAACCGGACGCAGGGCTGTGGACCTCACCCTTGGACCAAGTGATCAGAATTTAGTACTACAGGTAATGACGAAAAAAGCATCATATAGGAGAAGTGTTCAAAAAATGAAATATCTTTGGAAATCTTTTCACTAGTTGACATCCACTTCTTTGATGATACCGCAGGTGAGACATATTTTGAATGATAAGAAGAAGCTGCGTAAGGTGATTGACCCTGAGATTAGCAGGAACTCATACACAATGGAGTCTATCACCATGTTTGCTAACCTAGCATCTCGCTGTGTGAGAACCGACAGTAGCGAAAGACCCTTAATGGTAGACTGCATCAAAGAACTTCAGCTGATCCTCCACACAAATGCGAAAGGGCTAAACATGACTATGCATACGTTCAGAATGATCTGAGACCTTCTCAGATTGACATGGATGACACAAAATCTTATCAACATGCACCAAGAAGCATTCTTCAAATTCAGAAGTTGAAATATCAGCTAAAAGTTTCAAGTGTACATTGGAAAGAGCAATGAGAATGGTAGGATATAGTAAGTTGTCAAAGTAATAAAAGAACACAACCCAGATTCAACCGAAAGATCTCAAATTTTCTTAATAATTTAATAATAGCCTGGACGAGTCTGAGAAAAACAAGGACGTATCAAAGATTACACGTTAGTGCAGAGATTTGACTATGTACACATATATTTGCCACTTCTTATGATGTTTCATCCTCGCATATCAAAGAATGAAAACTAAGACTTCACTTGGCTGCTTTGCTTTCAAAACAGATATATTTAAGTTTGTTATATTCCCTGGAAAAGTTAACCTCTGATGATACTACATACACACACACAAAGCTGAAGACAGCTATCACCCCGGTGTAAAAACAGACGCATTCTTGTTCAAATTATTGAAGATTAAGGAGTAATGATTCATGAGTTCATCACAAATACAATAGTAAAGTTTAATATAAGTTTCAGCTCCAATTCAGGTTATAAAAAGGAAAACAAAAAGCTAAATCAAGTTTGATTATGTACATGTACAAACAACACAGTACAATAGACTACAGATAGATCCTAAAGAATGAAAAAGGGCTTGACCATGGAAAATAATGTACCTCAAAACTTGTCTATGTTTACATGTTCACGTGTCTACTGAAGAAGTGCATTCATCAACTTCAGAAAGGCTTTCTGAATCTGGAAGGACTTTCCACATCAAGTGCTTCCGTCGCTGCAATGCCAACAAGATAAAAATGTTGTCTGTCTCAACAATGGTATATCCAGCTTTTCTATACATGTTGAGTGGAGCAGTATCAATCATTCGACAGTGCAAGTAAACCTCTCTAGAAGAACTCATTTGAGAAATTAGTTCCTCGCTTGCTTTCAACAGATGCCAACCTATGCCCCTTCTGGAAAATGATAATAACAAATATCGGAACTCAATACTAGTCCATCATCCATATACTCTTCCAATAAGAATGACATTACATTCATCAACTTTTCCTATGCAAGTATGTCAAAAGTTCAAACAGAAAAAGACATTGGGAAGGAGGACATATACAGCCAGAGAATGATCTCTTGCGAATCCATGTAGACTCTTGAAAATCACTTCTGCACTCTCAAGGCATATATTTGACAAGTTAATTACACATATATACAGACACACACACACCAAAAAAAAAAAGCACATATAACAAGTCAACCACAACCAATTAGTTGAATAGTACACCAGAGTCAGATTCGGCGTTATACCTTACCTCAACTTGATTAACTAATTTTCCCCATCATCAATATGTTGATTGAGATAGAGAACTGATACTATATCAATTGGGAATTAACACAAGAAACAAGTACTCCCTCTATTTCAATTTCTTTCTTTACTCTTGACTTGGCACGGATTTTATGAAAGTTTCGAGAAATTTTGAATCTTGTTGTTTAACGTGTGAGGTGACTAAAAAAGGGGAAAGAGACATTCTTTTGAACAGACTAAAAAAAAAGTAATATACATGAAACGGAGAGAGCAGTTAAACGATACCTCCTAAGCAGCTTATCTACTGTCATATTGCAAATGTATGGAGAGTTCTTGGGAGGTGTAGGTGTGGGAGAATTAGCATTAGCACCCCTTTTGTCAAAACACACTTCCACAGTTCCAGCCAATTGCAAATCTGCATCTTCTCCATTTTCTCTATAGAATCCAAGAAGTGTAGCAGTATAAGGCATTAGTGCTCTTCTCTCAATCATATACTGCTTCACTAAATATGCCATGAATTTCACATACCCTTTAGGCATCAACATAGAATCAGAAAAAGACTCAGCCAACAACCAAACAGTAACATCCATTTCTTCTTCCCTCATCACACGAACCCACAATGATCCAGATTCCAATTCTTGAAAATACCTATATTTCCCTAAAGATTCAAGCTTTTCAAGTTCTTGATTTGTGAGAAATCTACCTGTTTGAAGTGGGGTTTGGAAGACTGATGATGGAGATGTTGAGGAAGAAGATGAAGAAGATTGGGATGTTGAAAGTGGGATAATCAGATTTGAAGTGTGTGATTTTGATGAGATTACAAAAGGGAATGTATATTTTGGGGTAAAGATTGAAGCTTTATGTGAATTGAAGCTAGTATTATGGTGAAAACGATGATGGTAATTGTGTTGAGTTTGAGGGTCTAAAGAAAATGATAAAGAAATTGCAGCAGCCATTGAAGAAGAAGAAGGGAGTGGCTGAACTGAAAGTTTGGATGTGGCAATAGGGGAATAATTTGTGCCTTAATATATGTAGAAAGTCAAAAAATGAGTGTATTATAAATTTTTATAAATTAGTTTAAGTCTTTTTGTAGAGTTACAATTTGTTTGTTTGAAATCTGAGTGATGGGGAAGAAGCTAAGGTTTGTCTTCATCTGGTCAAGTTGCTTTCACCCTTGTAACTTTGATACATTTTCTACCTTTCATACTTTTTCACGCGACAAATTTAAAACCATTAGATTTTATATCTTTAATTTAAGACAATACATCAAATTCAATAACCTATTTACTTTTTAAAGTCTGTGCCAAATTATGAATGGAATATAATTATGGTATAGAAGAGGATAATGTGGCATAGTTCTTTGGCGTTTGTGATGCATTACATAACTCTAATAAAAATTTTACTTTGCCATTCTCATCACCATATTATTGTTGGGATAGACAAGACACTAACAAAGAATGTCTGACAGGATAACAACGGATAAATACCCAAGTCTATACTTTCCCTTTTCGATTTGAACCAAGAGAAGACAAACAACCACAAGCAATATGATAGTAAGGCAGCAAGTAATTCAATCAAACAAATATAACAAGACAATAATAAACCAATCACACAAGACACCAAGATTTACGTGGAAAGCCCTTCGATGTGAAGAGTAAAAAACCACGGGACCAAAAGCTCCACTATAATCACCAAGAGTTACAATATTGTTCTCCAAAATTGGCCACAAAACAAAGTGCCAAACAACGAGCAACAACAAAATAAGATTGCACCAAATCTAGAGAATTAAAGGAGCAAAATCACCAATTTCGCAGCTACTGTTCACGACAGCAAAACTGAAGCTGCAGACCACCAAATCCAACTCTGTCAGTTCCTAATCAAAGATTGAGATGAAGATAATATGCTGTCCAAAAATCAGCTCAATCGGACAAGAAACGAAGCGGGAATCACAATTTGAAGTTGGTTGTTATGGCTGGATTTTTTACTGCGAATTTCTCTCTTTTTTCTCTCTTTTGGCTGCTGAAAAACTCTCTCTGAAAAATCTGAAAATAAGACCTAAAATAGGCTTATATTTGCCTCATAAGAATGGGCTTATGGACAAAAATGGGTTAGTCCAAATTGGGCTTTTATTTATCCACATAGGAAGGGAAAAAAGACCCATAACCCAATAATTCTCCCCCTCACGACTATGTGGAGGAGACCGCCATCCCGGCGACCATGCAACAATCTTCAAACTTCCCTCTTGGCAAAGTTTTAGTCATCATATCGGAACCATTGTCATTTGTATGAATCTTTTCAAGCTCAAGCAACTTAGAATCCAACACATCTCGAATCCAATGATATCTCACATCAATGTGTTTAGACCGACCATGGAACGTAGAATTCTTGCCAAGATGTATAGCACTTTGACTGTCACAATAAAGCACATACCTCTCTTGAGCACAACCAAGTTCCCCCAAGAATCTCTTCATCCAAAGCAATTCTTTACAAACTTCAACGATAGCAATAAGCTCAGCTTCTGTAGTAGATAGAGCAACACATTTTTGCAACCTAGATTGCCAAGACACAGCTCCCCCTGCAAAAGTAACCAAGTACCCTGAAGTAGACTTGCGAGTATCAACATCACCAGCCATGTCTGAATCAGTATAACCACAAAGAATAGGCTTCCCTGTACCAAAACACAAACTCAGACTAGAAGTGCCACAGAGATATCTCATAACCCACTTCACAGCATTCCAATGTTCTCTTCCCGGATTAGAAAGAAAACGGCTAACAACTCCAACAGCGTGAGCAATATCCGGTCTTGTACAAACCATCGCATACATCAAACTACCAACAGCTGAAGCATAAGGAACTTTCTTCATATCTTCCTTCTCATCATCACTAGAAGGACACTGTTTCGTGCTCAATTTGAAGTGCATAGCTAAAGGTGTACTGACAACCTTAGTTTTATCTATGTTGAATCTGCGAAGTACTTTCTGAATGTACTTCTCTTGTGATAATACCAATTTCTTGGCCTTTCTATCACGGACAATCTGCATGCCAAGAATCTGCCTTGCTGGTCCTAAGTCTTTCATAGCAAAAGACTTACTCAACTCTTGCTTCAACTTCTGAATCCTGCAAGTATTATGACCAACAACAAGCATGTCATCAACATAAAGCAACACAATAATAAAGTCACCATCAGAGAACTTTTGCACAAAAACACAATGGTCTGAAGAAGTCTTCTTGAAGCCCTGCTGACTCATAAAAGAACCAAACTTCCTGTACCACTGCCTGGGAGCTTGTTTCAAACCATACAAGCTCTTCTTCAATTTGCAAACATAATTCTCTTTACCCTTGACTTCAAAACCTTCCGGTTGCTCCATATAAATTTCTTCATCTAAGTCACCATGGAGGAAAGCAATTTTAACATCCATTTGTTCAACCTCTAAATCTAGACTTGCAGCCAAGCCTAGAACCACACGAATGGATGACATCTTTACAACTGGAGAGAATATCTCATCAAAATCAACTCCTTTTTTTCTGATTAAATCCCTTGACAACTAATCTAGCATTGTACCGTGGAACTGGATTACCATCTTCATGTTTCACCCGAAAAACCCACCTGTTTTTCAAATCTTTTCTGTCTTTAGGTAACTTAACCAAATCAAAGGTATGATTATCATGCAAGGATTTAATCTCATCTTCCATAGCATCAAACCACCTTTCTTTTTCTTCACTTTCCATAGCCTCATCAAGACTCTCAGGTTCTCCCCCATCAGTCAAGAGTACATACTCATTGGGAGAATAACGAGATGAAGGAATTCTCTCTCTACTAGATCGTCTGAGAGAACTCTCTGGAGCATCTATAATTGGTTGTTGGACAACCACATCATCTTGCACTGGAGCATCAACAACATCATGTCGGTCATTCTGAACATGATCACCATCTTCATTATCAACTTGATTTTCATCATTATGAAGATTTTCTTCCGGTGCAATAGTCAAAGGAACTGGATCAACATCAACTAAGCTCTCACTAGTCTGAAAATCAGCCTTGTCAGCTTTGTCAAAATCTTCAATTGTTTGGTCTTCAAAGAACACAACATCACGGCTTCTAACAAGTTTCTTCTCAACAGGATCATAGAAACGATAGCCAAATTCATCTTGACCATAACCAATGAAGATACACTGCCTAGTTTTAACATCCAACTTTGACCTTTCATCCTTAGGAACATGTACAAAGGCTTTACACCCAAAGACTCTAAGATGATCATAAGAAACATTCTTACCAGTCCAAACTCTGTCAGGGACATCACCATCTAAAGCAACAGCAGGAGATAAATTGATAACATAAGCAGCAGTATTAAGTGCTTCTGCCCAAAAGGAATCTGACAGCTTAGCATCTGAAAGCATACATCTAACCCTCTCAACTAGAGTTCTGTTCATCCTCTCCGCTAAACCATTTAACTGAGGAGTCTTTGGAGGAGTTTTCTGATGCCTAATACCCTGCTCTCTGCAATATCTATCAAAAGGACCAATATACTCACCACCGTTATCTGAGCGGATGCATTTCAATGTCTTTCCTGTTTGTCTTTCAACCAAGGCCTGAAAATCCTTGAACACATCAAGTACTTGATCCTTGGACTTCAAAGGAAATATCCAGAGTTTGCGAGAATGATCATCAATAAAAGTCACAAAGTAAAGTGCACCACCATGAGATCTTACCTTAAAAGGACCACACAAATCAGAATGTACCAACTCCAGCAAATCGAGCTTTCTTGAAGGCGGATGACTCTGAAAAGAAACTCTTTTCTGTTTACCGGCTAAGCAATGAACACATTTCTTCAACTTTGCTTGTTTCACTCCAGAAAGCAAATTTTTCTTAGCCAAACTATCAATCCTCTTCTCACTCATATGACTCAGCCTTCTATGCCATAACTCTGATGAAGTATCATTCTCCACCAAATTTACTGAGTCTCTGGACATGGAGCCCTGAAATACATACAAGTTAGACAACTTGTCACCACGGGCCACAACCATCAAACCTCTAGTAAGCTTCCACTGGCCAGCACCAAGTGTATTAACATAACCCTCATCATCAAGATATCCCACAGAAATCAAATTCAAGCGAACATCTGGAGCATGCTTGACATTATTAAGAACTAGTTTGGAACCATTGTTACTTTCCAAACAAACTGTCCCAATGCCAATAACTTCAACTTCATGATTATTGCCCATTTTCAACGTTCCAAAATTACCTGGAGTATAAGAAGAAAATAATTCCTTCTTTGGCGTGACATGAGAAGTAGCACCAGAATCCACAAACCAGCTAGACTCATCACGAACAAGATTAATGGCATTTTCATTACAAGAAACAAGAAGATCATTATTAGCAACAACAGCAACACGATTTTCATTATCGCCTTCTCTCTTTTGTTGTCTCATATCTCTCTTGTGCTTGTAACAATATTTCATGATATGCCCATTCTTGTGGCAATAGTCACATGTAGTATTCTTGTATTTAGACTTTGACTTGCTTCTACTTTTACCTGGACTTGTTTCTCCCTCTGGACTTGTTTCTCCCTCTATCTTCAGTAACCAAAATATCGGAGTGTGAAGCTGAAGAAGATGAGGCTTGAGATCTTCTTCTCATTTCTTCATTCAAGACACCACTCTTAGTATATTCCATGGTTACAACACCACTGGGAGCAGAATTAGTTAAAGAAACTCGAAGAGTTTCCCAAGAGTCTGGCAGAGTATTAAGAAGCCAAAGTCCCTGTATCTCATCATCAAACTTTACACCCATTCCGGACAGCTGGTCAAGAACACCCTGAAAATCATTAATATGATCAGAAATAGGAGTGCCCTCTTTATACCTGATATTCATTAATTGTTTCAATAGGAACAACTTGTTGTTGCCAGTCTTCGAAGCATAAAGTGTCTCGAGCTTGTCCCACAAACTTTTGGCATGTGTCTCATTCACAATATGATTTCTAACATTATCTTCAACCCATTGTCTAATATAGCCACAAACCTGCAGATGCTCAAATTCCCATTCATCAAATTCCCATTCATCATCATTCAAAGACTAAGGCTTATTAGAAGCAAACACAGGTAAATGCATCTTCTTGACAAATAGAAGATCTTTCATCTTGCCTTTCCAAATATGATAGTTACTACCAGTTAAACACACTATTTTGCTCATATTTGTCTCCATCATTCAAAACGACAATCAACAATAACCAATGCTCTGATACCACTTTGTTGGGAAAGACAAGGCACTAACAAAGAATGCCTGACAGGATAACAGCGGATAAATACCCAAGTCTATACTTTCCCTTTTCGATTTGAACCAAGAGAAGACAAACAACCACAAGCAATATGATAGTAAGGCAGCAAGTAATTCAATCAAACAAATATAACAAGACAATAATAAACCAATCACACAAGACACCAAGATTTACGTGGAAAACCCTTTGATGTGAAGAGTAAAAAACCACGGGACCAAAAGCTCCACTATAATCACCAAGAGTTACAATATTGTTCTCCAAAATTGGCCACAAAACAAAGTGTCAAACAACGAGCAACAACAAAATAAGATTGCACCAAATCTAGAGAATTAAAGGAGCAAAATCACCAATTTCGCAGCTACTGTTCACGACAACAAAACTGAAGCTTCAGACCACCAAATCCAACTCTGTCAGTTCCTAATCAAAGATTGAGATGAAGATAATATGCTTTCCAAAAACCAGCTCAATCGGACAAGAAACGAAGCGGGAATCGCAATTTGAAGTTGGTTGTTATGGCTGGATTTTTTACTGCGAATTTCTCTCTTTTTTCTCTCTTTTGGCTGCTGAAAAACTCTCTAAAAAATCTGAAAATAAGACCTAAAATAGGCTTATATTTGCTTCATAAGAATGGACTTATGGACAAAAATGGGTTAGTCCAAATTGGACTTTTATTTATCCACATAGGAAGGGAAAAAAGACCCATAACCCAACAATTATAAGGATGAAGAAGCAACTTTCCACAAACTGATACCATTTCCACCAGCCTTCATTTGGCATAACAAAACATAATACAAATTTCCGTCAAACGAAATGTAGAAATCTAAACATATACAGAAACCTAAGCTAGCATAATAGTATATTATTCAGCAAGACAGTACAATATATCATCAAGATTCAGGTAAAAGCATCAACGTTTCTTCTGTCTCATCAGATAGCCTAATGCTCCCATCATTGTCAGGTTCATATAACCGGCAGATGAGCAGAAAATAGAAGAAGTTGAGCAAACTCAAAAAAGTAAGTAGCCAGAAATAGTAATCTAGGTGACCCCTATTAATGTTGCTCGAAAGCCAGCTAGTTTTGCCTCCAGTTGATGAAAGCCAATCCACACCACTCACCAGAATACTTACAACCAAACTCGACACAGCAGTCCCAACAGTGTACATAGCTGATGCCATGCTGGACATGCTTTTGGGTAACAGAGAGTAGAAGAACTCAATCTGTCCAACAGAATGGGAACCCTCAGCCACTCCGAGTAGTGCATACTGTGGTACGAGCCACATAGCAGACATGTTCACTAACGCACTTGGGTCGTCCTCATGTCCTTCCTCTATTGCCAATTGTCGTCTTATGCTTTCTGTTATTGCTGACAACGCCATAGACATACAGGTGACTATTAAGCCAATACCCATTCGGATGACAGGACTTAGCCCTCTTGGCTGTCCAGTATATTTTGATAGCAAAGGGACCAAAACACGATCATAGAAGGTAATCCAGATTGTTAAAGCAATAATCATGAATACACTGAATGATGCTGCTGGTATTTCAAAGTGAGGGAAGATATGTCTATCCATGGTCTTTGCTTGAAGTACGGATGAAAATTGACTTAAAGCCACAAAAATCATAAAACCAGTGGACCACATAGGAAGTACTCTAATAAGAGCCTTCAGTAATTCAACTTGTTCCACACTACAAAGAGACCATGGATTCGAAGCTGATCCATCAGGATTCAAATCTTTTCGAGGATCTTCAATCACACAAGCTCTATTCAAACACCTATAACACACACAATAAATCACATGCCAATGAACTGCAATATCATATAGCAACTGAAAAAAGATGAAAAGAGTAATCGCAAAGAAATTACAGATACAGTTCATTGCTTAACATATAATATTGTTTCAGGCGAAGTGCATAGCATTCAAGGAATATTGACAGACCTGAAGTCATTTGATGGGGTCAAGATCTCGGATTCAAGTGGCGAATGATAGTAGTTATCACAATCAGTCAATGTAAGACGAGTATTTCTTTTCCTAAAAACTGCTACAATTGCTTGAAGCAATCCTATGAGCAAGTTTTCTTTAGCTTTCACTTTGACATAAAGAGGAGAACCGATTAGGAACATTGAGACAGACAAAAACATTAGGATAACAGGAATACCAAAGCCAACTTTCCAACCATAACGATCTTGAATATAAACGATAACTGTAACTGCAAGAATAGTTGAAATCCCCGTGCTAGCATAGTACCAATTAAAATAACTATCGAGAACCCTCTGGTTCTCGTGGTTCTCTTTTTCCCCCAATTGATCAGCACCAAATATTATAGAACAAGGTCTAACAAAACCAGTTCCAATTGACATAAACACAAAAGATGAAAATAGAACAGCAAGCTGGATTGTTGTTGTTCCATTACAAACATGTTGGAAGTGAGAGCAAGGTAAAGACTTGAGTTGCGGAATCATAGCTGTGAGCCATAGTATAATCATTCCCTGTTGAAGAAGAATGTTTTATAGACGAATTTAACTAAAAATTCAGGAACTAGCAGCATAGCAAAAGTGAAAAATGTGACAAATTACTCACAATAAGAGTGGAGATGGATCCAAAGGCAACAGCTTTAAATCGACCGCAGTAAGAATCAGCAACAATTGCACCAACAATGGCCAATCCATTTGAAAGTGCAGCCCATAATGCAAGAATACTAGTACCAGTAGCAGCACTCATATTATAATATGCCATCAAATAAATTATCATGTTCATCACTAAACCATAACTTGCTATTCTCTCAAATGATTCATTCACTGGAAAGAAAAAAACAAAAATTGAAATAATTACATAAATACTTAATGCATGCAAACAATTTAAAGAACAAAATATGAAAGCAAAGTTCTAGTAGAGTACAGATTATGAAAGGCATGGTTCTAAGACCACCCTTTCTTGTCTTCTCTTCAGCTAATTCTGTCTCTCTCTCCATTTTCTCTACAACTCTATTCTGTCCTAAGATGAAATAAAGGTAATCTCCCGGCTTTTTATTAAGAGTCATATGATTTAGTCAATCAAGCAAACACGTGTTTTAAAAAATATAAGGGATTAAATTAATAATTTATATTTTTAACTATCTCGTATAAATTGAGACGGAAGGATAATTTAATTTTGTTTCTTCTATATATATTATCATCAAAGTTGTACGTGTCATTTTACCTTCAATGAAAAACATGTGTCGCTTCTTATTCAAAGCTCTCTGCAATCTCTTTCTACTTCACCGATGAAGTATCAGTACAGAAACACATCAAAACCCAAGGTCAGTTCCTTTTATTTCTGCCAGACATTGGTACTTGCATCTTTCTCCTTGATTTTGAGTTGAATTAATTGTGCGTTTCTCTGGATTTGCATGTGGCTGAACTTGAAGTTCACGACTTTGATCGAAATTTGATTAAAGATTATATTTTTGTAGAGATGAATATAAGGTGTTTGAGAATATGTCTAAGAGAAAATTTGTGGTTATTTTGGTTAATGAGATGAAATTGAACATATACTTGTGGCTAAGTTAATCAGTACAAGTTACATTTATTCATGAATGCAGTACAACATATCATCAAGATTCATGTAAGAGTCTATAGTCACATTCTCTATCATCAGCTACATGAGGTGATCTATTGATCTCATCATTCCCAGTTTCATAAAACCGGCAGACGACTAGAAAATGTAACAGGTTTAGAAAACTCATAGAAGCAAGCACCCAGAAATGGTAATCCAGGTGACCTTTATTAATGTTGTTCGAAAGCCAGCTTGTTTTACCCCCGGTTGATGAAAGCCAATCCACACTACTCACCATAATACTTCCAATCAAACTAGATACAGCACTCCCAACAGTGTGCATAGCTGACGCGAAGCTGGACATGCTTTTGGGTAGTAAAGAGTAGAAGAACTCAATCTGTCCAAACGGTATGTGCAGCCTCAGCCATTCCGAGTAGTGCATACTGTGGCACGAACCACATAGCAGACATGTTTACTAAAGCATTTGGTTCGTCCTCATGCCCTTCCTCTATTGCCTTTTGTCGTCTTATTCGTTCTGTTATTGCTGACAATGCCATAGACATACAAGACACTACTAACCCAATCCTCATTCGGGTCACAGGACTTAGCCCTCTTGACCTTCCAGTATATTTTGATAACAAAGGGACCAAAATGCGATCGTAGAAAATAATCCAGATTGTTAAAGCGATAAGCAAGAACATAGTGAATGATGCTGCTGGTATTTCAAAATGAGGGAACATGTGTCTATCCATGGTCTTTGTTTGAAGTATGGAAAATGAGAATACACCCATGTCCACTGACATCATAAAACCAGTAGACCACATAGGAAGTATTCTAATAAGAGCCTTGAGTGATTCAACTCGCTCCACACTACACAGATCCCATGGATTTGAAGCTGATCCATCAGCATTCAAATCTCTTTCAGGATCTTCAATCATGCAAGCTCTATTTAACCACCTATAACGTACAATGAAATCTTCAACTCATATAGAAAGTGCATAGCATTCGAGTAATATTGACAGTAGAAGTTTCATTGATGAACAGATGGAGACACTTACCTGAAGTCCATTGATGGAGTCGAGGCGTTTGATTCAAGTGGCCAACGATAGTATTCATCACAACCAGTCAATGGAAGACGGGTATTATTTCTTTTACTAAAAGCTGCTACTGCTGCTTGGAACAATCCTATGATCAAGTTTTCGGTTTCTTTAGCTTTCACTTTGATATAAAGAGGAGAACCGAGTTGGAACATTAGGACAGACAAAAACATAAGGATAATAGGGATACCAAAGCCGATTTGCCAACCATAACGATCTTGAATATAAATAATTACAGTAACTGCAAGCATAGTTGAAATTCCTGTGCTAACATAGTACCAGTTGAAATAGCTTGCAATACGCCTCTGATTCTCGGGGTTCTTTTTATCTTCCAATTGATCAGCACCAAATATTATAGAACAAGGTCTAACAAAACCAGCTCCAATTGACATAAACCCAAAAGACGAAAACAGAACAGCAAGTTGGATTGGTGTTGTTCCATTACAAACATGTTGGAAGTGAGAGCAGGATAAAGACGTGAGTTCTGGAATCATAGTTGTGAGCCAAAGAACAATCATTCCCTGTCGAAGATAGGATCAGCTGTCTATTTGTTCAACTTGATACAAATTTAATTTGTTCAACTTGATACAAATTTAACGTAAAGCAATCAGTTGAAATTGTGAAAATGTGACAAATTACTCACAATAAGAGTTGAGATGGATCCAAAGGCAACAGCTCTAAACCGACCGCAGTAAGAATCAGCAACAATTGCCCCAACAATAGCCATTCCATTTGAAAGTGCAGCCCATAGTCCAAGAATGGTAGTAGCAGTGGCAGCACTCATGTTATAAAATGTCATCAAATAAATTAACATATTTGTTTGTAATCCATATGTTGCTATCATCTCAAATGATTCATTCACTAGAACAAAAACATTAAAAATATAATAATTAATTAGTACTTAACACATGCAAACAATCTAAACAACAACAAAAAAAAGAATTACCAATGATGAAAGGCATAGTTCTAAGACCACCCTTTCTTGGCTGCTCTTCTACTTGTCTAATTTCTGTCCTCATTTTAACTCTCTCTGTTTTTCCTCTTCACATTGCTCTTTCGTTTAATATTCGACGAAAGATAGATAACTTAAAGCGAAAAGAGTAGTTCATAGTAGAAGAAAAGTATAATCAGAGAACTCATCTTCTAACTCAAAATCGTTAACTAAGATCGGAGATTCAACTAAAACAGAGGAAGCTGGAATGGAGAATGTGTATTTAGGATTAAAAAAAATTATGGAAGAAGACTAATTGATTTGAGTTGTTCTTGGGTTTGGTACCTGTATATATACTTGTATAGGGTTGCTTCTAGAAATTATTCTAGATGCATCTACAAGAAATATCTAGATATTCTTACATTCTGACAGTATAACAAGAATCTGGATGCTTTACTATACATATCTAATTATCTAGAACATCTAGATTATTTCTTAAATATAAATCTAAAAAATATTTACTCTACAAAATTCTAAAAAGTTCTACTAAAATCTAATATATTCTTTTGTACTTAAAAAAATCAACTTTAATTTTTCACACTCCTCCTTAAAAAGTGTTTTTTTAAAAAAACTACCGCACACTTGTCGTGGAGGAGCTCAAATGAAGATTTGAGCCACACCTTGATGAAAATCTCGGCAGTTTCTTTTGGACTCCTCTTGCTTCTTCAAATGATAAAGATTTTCTGTTATCGAACGATCTATGAAAATTATCTCCTTGTTGATTTCCTGAACTCCCTCTTTCCCTTAGCTTCTCAATAATTATATTTTCTAGAGAAACACTTTCAATTTCCAGTGAAGTCTCAACACCAACATAGGATCCACTACCATATTCTCTTATCATCTCCTCAATAGACTTTTTGGCAGCTTCAGAACTTTCAAAAATCATATCCTTTGTCTCAAAAGGCTTTTTTTAAAATCGAAAACCTCAGTGCCATTTTATTAAAACAAAGAAATATGTACAATCAGGTGACCCAACTAGCCAAAAAAGATGGTGAACTATAGCACACTTAAATCGGTAAAATGGGGGTTTACCTGCTCCGAGACTTGTTTGAATGGTTTTGGCCGTCAAGGCCAAGTCGATCCATAACTAAGGTCTCAACAAACGTCCATGAAAATTTTCAAAAAAACTGACGTTGAAATTCCAAATCATCAAAAAGGATGGTGAACTATAACACATGAAAATGAGCAAAATGGAGGGTTTACTTGCTTCGGGCTTGTTTGACCTTTAAAATGGGTCGTTTTGGTCGTCAGAGTCAATTGGGTCCATAATAAAGGTCTTTACGAATGTCCATGAAATTTTTTTTAAAAAAAATGACATCAAAATTTCGAACCACCAAAAATAATGAACTATAGCACACAAAAATCGATAAAATGGGGGATTTACCTTCTCTGGGGCTTGCTTGACCTTGAAAGTTGGTCATTTTGGAATTTGAGCCAACTAGGTTCATAGTTAAGTACCTAACAGACCTCCATGAAAAAATTTAGCAAAAATGACGTCGAAATTCCAGATCATCGAAAATTCATGGAGTATAGCACATAAAAATTGATAAAAGGGCGGTTTACCTGCTCCGGGGCTCGTTTGACCTTAAAAATAGGTCGTTTTGGTCATCAGGGCTAACTTAGTCCATAGCTAAGTTTTTTACACATGACCATGAAAAGTTTTGATAAAAATGACGTCGGACTTTCGAATCGCCAAAATATATGGTGAATTATAGCATACGACAATTGGCAACATAGAGATTTACCTGCTCCAGGGCTTGTTTAACCTTGAAAATTGACCGTTTGGGCCAACTAGGTCCATAACTAAGGTCATAACAAACGTCCATGAAAAAATTTGATAAAAATGACGTCGAAATTCTTAATCAGCAAAAATTCATGAATTATATAGTGTACGAAAATCAATAAAGTTGAGGATTTAACTGCTCTGGAGCTTGTTTAACCTTGAAAATGGGTCATTTTTTTTGCCGTCAGGGCCAATTAGGTCCATAACTAAGGTCTTATCGAACGTCTATGAAAAATTTTGGCAAAACTGACGTCGAAATTCTGAGTCACCAAAAAATCATGGACTATATAACACACAAAAATTGGCAAAATAGAGGGTTTACTTGCTCTGAGGCTCGTTTGACTTGAAAAATGGGTCATTTTGGATGTCAGGGTCAACTAGTACATAGTTAAGGTCTTAACAAAAGTCCATGAAAGATCTCAAAAATAAAGACATCGGAATTTCAGATTGCCAAAAAAGATGGTGAACTATAACACACAAAAATCAGCAAAATAAGGTTTTACCTGCTTTGGGACTCGTTTGATCTTGAAAATGGATCGTTTTGACCGTCAGGGTCAATTGGGTCCATAAATAAGATCTTAACGGACTTCCATTGGAAAAATTAACGTCAAAATTATGGATCACCAAAAAAGATGATGAACATATATAGCACACAAAAATCTACAAAACGGGAGGTTTACCTGCTCCTCGGCTTATTTGACCTTGAAAATTGACTGTTTTGACCATCATGGCCAACTAGGTCCATATATAAAGGTCTTAATGGATGTCTATTAAAGTTTTCAAAAAAATGACGTCAGAATACTAGATTACCAAAAGAGATGGTGAATTATAGCAAATGGAAATCAGCAAAATAGGGAGTTTACATGCTCCGGGGTTCATTTGAACTTGAAAATGGATCGTTTTGGCCGTCAGGGACAACTGGGTCAATAACTAAGATCTTAACGGACGTGCATAAATTTTTTTTTAGAAAAAATGACATCGAAATTTTAGATCACCAAAAAATCATGGACTATAGCACACAATAATCGACAAAATAGGGGGTTTACTTTCTCCAAGGCTCGTTTGACCTTGAAAATGAGTCGCTTTTCCTGTCAGGGTCAACTGCGTCCATAGCTAAGGCCTTAACGGACGTCCATGAAAATTTTTGACAAAAATACGTCGAAATTTCGATTCACCAAAATTCATAGACTATAACACACAAAAATGAGTATTGCCTGCTCAGGGGCAAGTTTGACCTTGAAAATGAGCCGTTTTGGTCATCAGGGCTAACTAAGTCCATAGCTTAGGTCTTTACAAATGACCATGAATATTTTTGAAAAAAAATGACGTCAAAATTCTGGATCACCAAAAAAAGTGGTGAACTATAGCACACGAAAATAGACGCAATGGGTTGTTTTGGTCGTTAAGGTCAACTGAGTCCATAGCTAAGGTCTTAACCGATGTCCATGAAAAAATTTCGAAAAAAATGACATGGGAATCCCTGATTAGCTTAAATCCATGGACAGCAACACACGAAAATCGGTAAAGTGGGAGTTTACCTTCTTTGGAGCTCGTTTGACCTTGAAAAGGACTTGTTTTGATCGTCAGAGACAATTGGGTCCATAGTTAAAGTCTTAACCGACGTCCATGAAAAATCTCGATAAAATTCGGAATTCTGAATCACCAAATATTCATAGACTATAAGCACACGAAAATCGGCGAAAATTGAAAATTTACCTGCTTCGAATTTCATTTGACCTTGTAAATTAACCGTTTTGACCGTTAGGCCAACAGAGTCAATAGCTAAGATTTTAACGAATGTCAAAATTCATCTTTCCACTATTAATGGGGGAGAATTGTTCTTTTTTACTAAAAGCGCAAAAGAACACTTCATATTCTCTCCATTCATTTTTCTTTCATCAACACATGAAAATAAATAAAAATATTTTTTTTTAATTCTATAATTTTAAATATTTTATTGTGAGAAATTGGAATTAAAAAGATGTACAAAAATTACATTTTTTTTTTAAAAAAAAAATGGACTGATATAAAATTGGTGTTTGCTGTGATCATCAACTTAAAGAAAAAAGGTTCCCACATGTTGAGATTTGTTATGACGAGTAAAGATTTCATTTTAAGACCGAATCATATACATTTTGCTGACTTAATTTTTCGTTCATTTTAAAATGGATAAATAATATAGAATCTTGCGGAATATTTGATACACATAGGATACAACGTCACACAAGACATACTATTGTCAGGACGCAACGTAAGATAAGTGTGTTTATTTATTTAATTATATATAAATTTAAATATTTAATTTTACACACTTGAAATTAGAGAAAATATATATCTACAGAAGTCAAGTTAAATGAAATATTTATATTATATCTTTTATATTTTGTAACAATTTAACTTTTAAATATCAATTTTACGCTTAATGAAATGATTTATAGTCACAAAAACGATATATTCAAATAACTTACTATAGAAAATATTGTATTAAATATGATGTAATTACTATCATACTAAATTTATAAGAAAATATCATACTACTTGTAGTTAATAATTGTGGGACCCATCCACAAGGAAATTGCTCATTCAACTCGTGTCATTTTTTATTTCTAGCCAGCCACAGAGGAGGGTTATAAAACTATGAGCAGCCACCTACTACATTATTGTTGAAATTGTGAAAATGATATAACTCATAGTTAGAGTGGAGAAGTAATTGGTGAAGAATAATTTTTTATTTTTTTTACCATGACTAATAATAATAATAATAATAATAATAATAATAGTTATTAGTGATTGAAAGTTGTAATGCTAATAATTGTAAATGTGGTTAATATAATAGCTAATGAAGGTAGAGAATAATTACGATTCGTGGTGATATATAATAATGACAATTATTATTAGGATTGGGAGGTGTTATGATGATGATTGTAGATAGTGATGGTTAATAATGATGAGTGATAACGATAGTTGTGAATTGATGAACTGTATATCTATAAATATCAAAATTTTATCAGGCATACAAGCTAAGACGAGTGCAATTTCATTTGAAATTCTCGGAGACTACTATTCTAAACTATATATCATTCATGTCTAAATAAGAGAATATATTTAGGTATTCGAAGTCGAAAAGACCTTTTTTTTTTCTTCCAAAAATGCATAAGCCATAGCAAGCCAATTGGTAAGGCTGGAACCATCAAAGACAAGAGCAGTGGCAATAGCAAATTAAATTGAACACAACTTTAAACAATTATAAGGATCCAAAAAGGATTATCACATGAAGTGATCAAGTTTGCTTTTCAAATTAAATTAGATCAATTCAATTAATTGTAAATTTGGAATTATTAATTCCCACTTAGGTTTATTATTTATTAAGAGTTGGTAGTAAATGAGATTTACTATTAATTATATACCCGGTCTACTGTTGTTTGTCATGATTTTTATTTTGAGTTAAATTATAAGAATTTTAATTAATATTTTAAGATGTAAAATAATTTTCGAAAAGAGCAACATGACAAATAAAAGTGGACAGACGAAGTATTAGTTATTATTCCAATGTACTTCCGTTACATACTCCCATTACATATTATTAATTAGTATTATGATTCCAATGTACTTACATTACATATTCCAATGTAGTTTACTCAAATAATTAGAGAAGATCCACGAAATCCTTTTTGTATGGAGATAAACAAAAATTCAGAAAGAAAAATCAAGAAAAGAATAGAACTGTGGTCACACTATTTATTAATAATAAAATAATTAGTACTAATTGCATCATTTAACAATGCACTCCAACATATAACATCAAGATTCATGCAAGAGTCTATAATCACATTCTTTCTCTTTTGCCACATGAGATGACCTACTCCTCCCATCATTGAGAGATTCATAAAATCGACAGACAAGCAGAAAATATAAGAAGTTTAGAAAACTGAAGAAAGAAAGCAACCAGAAAAAGTAATCAATGTGACCCTGGTTAATGTTGCTCGAAAGCCAGCTCGTTTTACCTCCCGTTGATGAAAGCCAATCCACACTACTCACCAGAATACTTCCAAGCAAACTCGACACAGCAGTCCCAACAGTGTACATAGATGAGGCAATGCTGGACATGCTTTTGGGAAATAAAGCGTAGAAAAACTCAACCTGTCCGACTCCATGGGTAGCCTCAGCTACTCCGAGTAGTGCATACTGTGGCACGAACCACATAGCAGACATGTTCACTAAAGCATTTGGATCGTCCTCATGTCCTTCCTCTATTGCCCTTTGTCGTCTTATGCTTTCTGTTATTGCTGACAATGCAATAGACATACCGGAAGCTATTAACCCAATCCCCATTCTGGTAACAGGACTTAGCCCTCTAGGCTGTCCAGTATATTTTGATAGCAAAGGGATCAAAACACGGTCGTAGAAAGCAATCCAGATTGTTAAAGCAGTAATCATAAACACACTGAATGATGCTGCTGGTACTTGTAAGTGAGGGAAGATGTGTCTATCCATCGTCTTGGTTTGAAGCAAGGAAAATGAAAATATATTCATATCCACGAAAATCATGAAACAGGTAGACCACATAGGAAGTGCTTTAATAAGAGCTTTGAGTGATTCAACTTGTTCCACACTACACAGATTCCATGGATTTGAAGCTGATCCATCGGGATTCAAATCTCGTTGAGGATCTTCAATTATGCAAGCTCTATTTAAACACCTATAGCATACAATAAAAACGTATTAAAGTGAACTGCAATATCATATAGCAATGGAAAAAGGTGTCACTGACCTAAAGTCCTTTGATGGAGGCAAGACCTCTGATTCAAGTGGCCAACGATACAATTCATCATAGTTAGTCGATGAAAGACGGGTATTTCTTTTCCTAAAAGCTGCTACAGCTGTTTGAAACAATCCTATAACCAAGTTTTCAGTAGTTTTAGCTTTCACTTTGATATAAAGAGGAGAACCGATTTGGAACGTTAAGACGGACAAAAACATAAGGATAGCAGGGACACCAAAGCCAACTTTCCAACCATAAAGATCTTGAATATAAACGATAAGAGTAACTGCGAGAATCGTTGAAACCCCTGAGCTAGCATAGTACCAATTGAAATAGCTTTCAAGAATCCTTTGGTTCTCGGGGTTCTTTTTATTTTCCAATTGATCAGCACCAAATATTATAGAACAAGGTCTAACAAAACCAGCTCCAATTGACATAAACCCTAAAGACGAAAACAGAACAGCAAGTTGGAGTGTTGTTGGTCCATTACAAACGTGATGGATCTCAGAGCAAGATAAAGACTTGAGTTGTGGAATCATCGCTGTGAGCCATAGAATTATCATTCCCTGTCCATACTTTTGAGTTAAAAATCAAAGTGGACTGACAAACTAAGATATTAACAGATTGAATACATCAAAATACTTACAATAAGAGTGGAGATGGATCCATAGGCAACAGCCCTATACCGACCCAAGTAAAAATCAGCAATAATTGCTCCAAAAAGAGCCAATCCATTTGAAAGTGCATTCCATAGTCCAAGAATACTAGTTCCAGTTGCAGCACTCATGTTATAATATGTCATCAAATAGATTATCATTTTCGATTGTAAACCAAAACTTGCAACCCTTTCAAATGATTCATTCACTGAAACAAATTTTGAAATAATTAGTACTTAAACAATCTAAACAAAAAAAAAAACAAAAAAAAAAAGTGTTACCAATGATAAATGGTATTGTTCTAAGACCACCCTTTCTTGGGTTTTCTTCAACAAATAATAATTCTCTTTCACTCTCCATTTTTACTAACACTTTTTTTTCCTTTTCAGTTTCTTCAACTGATATATGTACACCTTCCTTGCTTTAAATTCGATGATCTAAATTCAGTAAAATGAATGGTCCAGATTTCCATATTATATTAAAATATATTTCGATAATATATCTAGAATATATTATTACATTTTTTATCTTATAATATTAAAATAGACTCAAATGAAATTATTTGTTAGGTGTGAACATCTTAAAGAGGAAAGGAATCCACATGTTGAAGTGTGTAGTAGTTGAAATCGACATTTTAATATAAGACCAAATCAATCAGTTCAAGGGTAGTGTCTGTTTCATTATAAACATTTTTGCTGACTTAATTTTTAAGATGAACAAATTATATTGATATTTTTCTAAATAAATTGAAATTGAGGAAGAAGTTTGTTGAAAATTGTTAATGGTGATAGTTAATAATGACAAAGAACTATATAAAAACGACTCATATATATCTCCACTATCACGAGTCCAATCATCCATATGGCACATGGAGAGGCAGAATGGGCAAGGTAGATGAGGCTTGTCAGTCATTTTAAAATATTGGGCTGTGAGCAGGTCACCCCATGCTATATCAAACAATATTAACTTGATTAACCATTTGATCTATGAATCTTAATTGCTTAATTCGTTGGTTATCTGAATTTCCATCTTATCGGTGAGGATTCAATTTCCCACATCATCGTAATCTTCTCCCCATTTCCACTTCCCCATCCAAAAAAAAAAAAAAGATTAGTTGTTGATCTTACTACCAAAAGCGTTGAACCAAAGTCTACTTCAAATCACTAGAAAATAAAGAGTTTTTTCACAAACTAAACGCTTTTTGTTCAACTTTTGTGTTGGGAGAAATCTATTTTTCTTTATTATATTTACGATAAGTTCAATGACAAAATACAATATTTAAACATATATAAAGTTGAACAAATATAGTGACAAAATACAATATTACTTTGTTAATTGAATCATATGATTCACTTATTACTATTCCTACAAAGTTGAATCAGCTCTTGAGCAGCAACATCCATCTCTTCATCTTTTATAGCTTTTAAATTCTTGCTTATATCTCTTACTTTAGCCCTCAAAATTTCCCCAATTTCCCCCGTTATGACACCTTTAAGAGTTTCCGCGATTTCTCCTCTGTAAATTTTTCCATCATCATCTCTAACAATCTCAACTGCGACTCCCAATTCTACTATCAACCTAGCATTCATTGGTTGATCAAGTTGCATAGGCATGGCAACTATAGGTACCCCAAAATCTATACTTTCCATCGCTGAATTCCAACCACAATGACTTATAAATCCTCCCGTACTCGGATGATTTAGAATTCTTGGTTGTGGTGCAAATTTGTCCAAAACTCTTCCCCTCTCTCCAATTCTTTCAAAAAAACCTTTTGGTAATACATCTTCAAGATTTTTCTCTTCACCTTTCGGAAATCTTACAACCCATATGAAATTAACATTACTTAACTCCAACCCGAAAGCTACTTCTTCCACATCTTCTTTTGACAAGAAATACTCACTCCCAAAGGAGACGAAAACAGTTGAATTCTCATCTTTTGTTCCTAGCCAATCTATTAACTCCATGTCATCGTCCGCCGCGTCATTAGTGATTGAATCTTGAACTAGTGAACCAACTGGAACAACTTTCCAATTTGTCAGTTCAATGCAATAATCAATATATTTGGCTTCTAAAATTTTAGAAGTACTCATCAACATGATTTGCATATTTCCATAAGCTAAACCATCATCATGTTCTTCTCCCTCTTTGTTATGTTTTGACAACGTTTCACACCATCTAACTAGCTCAATTTTCCTGAGATAAATAGCAGGGTAAGGGAATTCAACCTCTGGTTTCTTCGTTAAGTTGAAAAAATACGAAAACACAGCAACACCCGAAGTCAAAAGCTTAACTGCTGGAATGTTTAGTTCAGTAGCCACATCTTCAGCCCATTGCTGCAATATGTCGTAAATCAACAAATCAGGTTTCAGATTTTGCATGATTTTCGAGAAGTTTGGTTTCGACATTTTCAGGGCTCTACGAAGGATGTGATTGAGATTGGGTGGGAGACCATTGGTGGTATGGTAATGAGGAGGAAGTTCGGGTAATTCTGGTAAGTGAAGTTCGATAAGCTGAATCGAATCAGCATACTTTTCGGGGATTTTGTTGATGGTGGATTTGAGATTTATCGGTGTTGAACACAAGTAAATCAAGAATCCTCTGTCCGCAAGCTTCTTAGCTACGTTTAGATATGGAGATATGTGTCCATAAGCCAAAAATGGGAACATCAATACCTTTAAAGTAGTACTCATTGTATGCTTTAGTTCTTTGATTTTCTCTAGAGTGATGAAAGAGGAGCTCTTTGTGGAGTTGGTGACATTGGCTACCTTTATTTATCAAACCAAAGTGTGGTCATCATTTTTGACCATGACATAATGATGACAATTATCATTATTGATTGAGAGTTTGGCTATGTATCAATTGGTCCACTTTGATTTTGAAGTTTACTAATTTGATTTATCAATTATCTATTTATTTGTTATAGAATTATTGAAATATCAATTTATATCATCATCAATTTGATTATCGATTAAATCGTTAAGATTTCACACAATCAAATCCTTTAAAAATTATTTAGAAATAAGTTGACAAATCGAATAAATCATCCACATGTAATAAATAACATATCATATCTTGCTAAATAGCAAACATCAAAATCTTGTAAAAAAAATAAATATTTAAAAAAGTTAGATATAAAAATATGAAGCTAAACATTAATTCAAGATCTTTGTATCTCAAATGACATACATCAGGTTATTTATTAATCCATTAAAAATAAAACAAAATCAAAATCGTCAAACTAAATAGTCTATTATCATAAATGAATATTTTTAAAAACAGTCACATGTGATAAAAAGGGTTTAATTGATTCCTTTAGTTAAAAATTATACGGTAAACAGACACTTTGAATCACATTGAAATTTGTGATTATAATATTGACATTTTATTATATCTGTGTATTGTACTAGACAAATAGAAAGAAAACAAATCTGCCATGACAGAAAGGATCACGTTAAAATTTGTGATATTTTAATACTAGGAGTAATATTATATTATATTGAAGTGTATAATATCATTTTGATCCGACAAATGCATAGGCTCCTCAAATTTCGATTTGGTTTTTCAAATTATTATATTACGAATCGATTTTTAATTAAAATATTTTGATTTAAATTATGATGAGATGCTCATTTATTTTATTATTAAAAGTTTAACTTATTCATACTATTTATATTACAAATTATATTTATTTATATCATTATTTTTTAATAGAAAGATACATTAATTTGATTTTGACATGCTACTTTATGGAGATGTCCAATTCTATAATAGAACCATACACTATTAAAAGAGATTTAATAGTGATATGGTCCTATCATAAAGTGAGCTCCATTCCACAATGTCAGTTCCATCCATATGCTAACTCTTGGTCAGACCCAACTAGGCCTTTATGATTTCCTGGCATTTCAGTAGTTGACCTCATTTATCAGTTACTACTGGACATCGAAAGAACGTATTCTTGAACTTAGTCTTAGCTGATATTTATGCATTCCGATTTTAATTTGTATAAATAAGTACTTTTACTATTAGTATTTTACGTGGAATACTATATGTGTTGTGTGTCTACTAATGTATGTTTCTAAAGTCAAGTTTAAGGAGCATATTTATCACATTTTTGTCTAAGTAAAGTCACAAGATACATAAAAAAATATATGTATAGATGAAGATTGTAGAGGTCTTAACATATGAAAAACTTTATTGTCCAACTCAATTAGTAGTTGTTGGATCATTCAAGGATGCAATACAATATATCATCAAGATTCATGTAAGAGTCTATAATCGCATTCTTTCTCATCAGCCACATGAGGTGATCTACTCATCTCATCCTTCCCAGTATCATAAAACCGGCAGACAACTAGAAAATATAGCAGGTTGAGAAAACTCATAGAAGCAAGCACCCAGAAATGGTAATCCAGGTGACCCTTATTAATGTTGCTCGAAAGCCAGCTCGTTTTACCTCCCCTTGATGTAAGCCAATCTTCACTACTCACCAGAATACTTCCAGTCAAACTCGACACAGCAGTCCCAACGGTGTACATAGCTGACGCGATGCTTGCCATGCTTTTCGGTAATAGAGTGTAGAAAAACTCAATCTGTCCAACTCCATGGGTAGCCTCAGCTATTCCGAGTAGTGCATACTGTGGCACGAACCACATAGCAGACATGTTTACTAAAGCATTTGGATCGTCTTCATGCCCTTCCGCTATTGCCCTTTTTCGTCTTATGCTTTCTGTTATTGCTGACAATGCCATAGACATACAAGAGACTGTTAACCCAATTCCCATTCGGGTAACAGGACTTAGCCCTCTTGGCCTTCCAGTATATTTTGATAGCAAAGGGACCAAAACACGATCGTAGAAAGTAATCCAGATTGTTAAAGCAATAATCAAGAACACACTGAATGATGCTGCTGGTACTTCAAAGTGCGGGAAGATATGTCTATCCATGGTTTTTGTTTGAAGTACAGCAAATGCAAATACATTCATGTCTACAAACATCATAAAACCAGTAGACCACATAGGAAGTATTCTAATAAGAGCCTTGAGTGATTCAACTCGTTCCACACTACATAGATTCCAAGGATCCGAAACTGATCCATCAGGATTCAAATCTCTTTCAGGATCTTCAATCATACAAGCTCTATTTAAACACCTACATATATTCATCATACAATAAACTCTTATTCTAATGAAGTGCAATATAATAAAAATTAGACATAAGACGGAGACACTGACCTGAAGTCTTTTGATGGCGTTAAGACCTCTGTTTCATATGGCGAATGGTAGTAGTCATCACAATCAGTCAATGAAAGAGGGGTTTTTCTTTTTCTAAATGCTGCTACACATGCTTGGGACAATCCTACTAGCAAGTTGTTTGTATCAGTTTTCACTTTGATATAAAGAGGAGAACCGATTAGGAACGTTGAGATAGACAAAACCATGAGTATAACAGGGACACCAAAGCCAACTTGCCAACCGTAACGATCTTGAATATAAA